CTCCGCGGGTGTCGATTCTACGAATCCAACGAGTCGACGGAGCGGTAGTCTTTACGAACTCAATAAATCTACGCGGATGTCGACTTTACGAATCCAATAAGTCGACAGAGCGGTAATCAGGGATGTAGACTTTACGAATCCAACAAGTCTACGAGGATGTCGACTCTACGAATCTAACGAGTCGACGGAGCGGTATCGAGGAAGGTCTAGGATACGGTGTTCTAGGCAGCGGTGTTCGCGAGGATCTGCTGCTGTCGGAGTCTTAGCTCTGCTCAGCGGAGCGCCTCGGAAGACTGCTTCATTCTCAGCTTTTCGCGCGGTCTTTTATACCAATTTTAGCCTGATCTAGTGTTGTGTTATTCGCGGCGGTGTTTACATCGGTTTGTCGCGGATTCTGTTTTCGTGACGAGTCGTTTCGTATACTTGATTTTAACGTTTTCGCGGTTCGTTCTATCTTTGTATTACGGACGGCTCGTTACACTGTTTACATCTAAAGCTGGCCACACACACTTTCCGTAACAATAATCGTAAGACGTAACGTAAGAATTGACCAATCATGTTGAGTATCATCGAATTGTAAAGTCGCCATTTTTATAAATACTCGATCGTAATTGGTCAATTCTTACGTTATGTCTTACGGTTACTGTTATGGAAAGTGTGTGTGGCCAGCTTTACTGCTTAAGGGGATGCAGTAGGTCTATTCTCTAACTTCTTAACGACAATGTCATTAGCTTAGGATGTCGTTACGGAGATTTAATGACACTGTAACGAAAAATGGTATTCTGTAATTTTTCTTAACGATAAATATCGTTAAAAGTGTCGATAAAATATCGAATTTTGTCGTTAAGATATCGAGGGGTATGGGACCCCTCGATAAGCAATAACGACAATATAATTAGATATAACGATGCTCCAAGTAGTAGGAAAGTGTGGCTCTACGTTTGTACATCGGCTCTACAGTTGCCGACTATTGGCTCTTTCTTTCCTTAATTTTTGTATCTTTTCAGATATCTTCCCACATAGCAGAGATGTCCAAAATATATCATAGGGATATCCTAAAGATACCCAATGAAAAATTTTTCATATATAATTATATAAAATTATATAAAATTATATATAATTATATATAATTATATATTATTATGTATCAAATTTGTCCATTCATGTTCATACATTCTACTTATATATATATAATTATATATAATTATATATAATTATGTATAATTATATATATAAATTCATATATAATTTTACATAATTACGCATAAATTTATATGTAATTATACATATTGTTATACATAATTGTGTATAATTATATATAATTTTATATGATTATATATAATTATACATAATTATGTATGGACAAATTTCATACAAAATTTTGCGACAATCGTTGCTACGTAACGATAACGACGTTAGAAAGTTAGAGAATAGATCTACTGGAGACGATTTCGAACTTAAAAAGCGTCGATAATGCAGTTTTCGTAGTTGAAGGACTGACGCTAGATGGCAGTAGATGTATCGATACGGCTTATCAGTGATGCCATTCGAGCATGAAAGCGGATAGTGATGACATATATCTATTGAAACCTTAGAGCATATATATATATATATATATATATATATATATATATATATATATATATATAGGGGGAATTGCGTATGCCTCCTGTAGACCAAGTGTCTCCAAGATCTGTGCGAGAGAGAAAGGTATACATTTCTATTCCTCCTCTGTGCGCATGCGCTAACATGCGTCAGTTGTTGCTGAACTACAAAATTATTGGTTTTAATATATTTTACTTGAATTCTATAAACTTTACCGAAAAATAACAAGAAATAAAAATTGTTTATTTTCTTCTCATAGAGCTCGGAGAATTTTTTCAGAATTTTATATTAACTTTTTAGTATTGCATTTTCTTGCATTTTCTTGAAGTACTAGAAAGTTAATACAAAATTCTGAAAAAATTCTCAGAGCTCTATGAGAAGAAAATAAATAACTTTTATCTCCTGTCAACTCTATAATCTAACCTAACCTGTCAACTTCAATGCATGTGCACAGAGGACGAATAGGAACGTATAGCTTTCTCTCTCGCACACATCTTGGAGACACTTTCGTGCCAGCATTCCCTTTCCATATATATATGCTCTAAGATTGAAACGATCGTATCTACCGCCTGGCAACATTGTATACGGATTGCATCGTGAATCCGTATAAAGTTAAAGGCCAAATCACTCTAACGATTGGCGATAGATGATTGACGATTGAAGATTGGAACTTGACTAATTCGAACAAAGCAAGCCAAGGCTGAAGCTTGTTGATTCGTTAAAATCTAATTTTTAATTGTCATATTTCCGTCTTTATTTCATACCTAGATATCTAAATCTGCTCGAGCAAATTTTGCCCAACACTTGACTACAAATTTTGCTGCTAAAATGTCATCAAATTGGACACAACATCTGCCAAATCAAAAGTTGCTTGCAAATTGGCGTCAAATATCGACCAAGGTTTGTGCAGCGCAGTTTGGCGCCAAACTTTGCTCCGTATTTGACGACAATTTGGCGTTAGATTTTGTCACCAAGCTTTGCTAACAAAATTCAAGCATATTGCAGACGCAGATGGCATCGGATTTGCCGTCAAGTTTTGGTCGTATTTGGTGTCAATTTGGCGACAATTTGGTACCAAATTGTTTGCTGGGATAGCGCGAAAAAAGAAAGAGATACAGCTTTTGCTTCCCGTTTCTTTGTATCTAATTTTTTCTCTCTTTGTACCTGATCTTCGCTTTAAAATATTGGATATGTTCGGTCTATTCTTTTTATATCTTTATATCCCATTAATAACCCAGTAAGCAAATTGAGCGCAAACTACGCGCAGATTGGCAGCAAATTTGATCAAAAACTCACAGCAAAACCATAGCCATCTGTGTCTACATTAGGCTACGGTTTTGGCGACAGATCTTGCTGTCGGGCAATTGGTGCCAAATTTGCAGCAAAAACCGCGCAAAGCTTGCAGCGCAGCAAGGTCTGCGCGGTTTCTGCCACCAATCTGTCGTCAAATCGCTACAAGTTCTGCATGGTTTTTTCTGCAAATCTGCAGCAATTATCCGACAACAAGCTCTGCCGCATATCTGGCGACAATTTGGCAGCAAGATTTGATATAACAGATTCTGCATCAAATTTGTTATCTTTTTGCCATCAAAAGTTGATAGCAAACTCTGCTAAAAATCTGTTCGCGCAGGTTTGGCTATCTGGGAAATTGACAGTAGACTGCGCGCAGATTGGCATCAAATCTGGTAAAAAATGCACACGAAAACTATAGCCATGTGTGTCAGCATTCAACTATGGTTTTGGCGACAGAGCTTACTGTCGGGCAATTGCTGCAGATTTGCAAAAAAAAACTGCACAGAACTTGCCGCGTGATAGGACCTACGCTGTTTCTGCTGCCAGTCTGCTATCAAATCATTACAAACTTTGCGCGATTTTTCCTACAAATCTGAAGCAATTGACCGATAGCAGACTTTGTCGTACATCTGGTGGCAGTTTAAAAACAGGATTTGATATAACAGATCCTGCATCAAATTTGTTGCCTATTTGCTAGCAATAGTTGATAACCGTCTCTACTCGAAATCTATTAGCGCAGGTTTGGCTATCTTAGGATGTTTCAGCTCGAAATCTTAAGCATACGCGTGGCTATATGCTATGCTCGATTGTGTGCGTTATCGCACACCAGAATATGTACTTTAGATTATTATATTAGGTGTACAACTTTGCCGTTTTCCTATAGATGGCTTTAGCAGTAAGTGGTGGTCGAAATAAATAGATCATAGACGTCATACAATAAACTTGGGCATCTGTCAACATAACCCCATAGAAACATTAGTCGATTTGTGTCTGCATCATAAAGTTATTCTCGATTGAAAATGTCAGTTTACGAGCTAAATTCTCGTCATTTGCGGGAGGTTTTAATTTTCTGCTTTAGTAGGAAGAAATCTGCGGCTGAGGCTTATCTAATGCTCTCAAATACTTATGGTGAGGCCGCTATTAGTGAAAGAACGTGTCGTGAGTGGTTTCAACGCTTCAAGAACGGTGATTTTGACGTCGAAGACCGGCATAGCGGTGGAAGAGAGAAGGTTTTCGAAGATGCAGAATTGGAGGCATTACTTGATCAAGACTCGTGTCAAAATCAAGAAGAATTGGCACGATCATTGGGAGTGACTCAACAAGCCATTTCAAAACGCCTCAAAGCCATGGGAATGATTCAGAAGCAAGGAAATTGGGTGCCGTACGAATTGAAGCCGAGAGATGTTGAACGACGTTTGTTTGCTTGTGAACAGCTGCTTGAAAGGCAAAGACGGAAGGGATTTCTGCATCGCATTGTGACTGGGGACGAAAAATGGGTTTATTATGATAACCCCAAGCGCAGAAAATCATGGGGAGTTCCCGGCCATGCTTCCACGTCGACGGCCAAACCGAATATTCACGGCTCCAAGGTCATGTTCTGTATTTGGTGGGACCAGCTCGGTGTAGTGTATTATGAGCTGTTAAAACCGACTGAAACAATCACAGACGATCGGTATCGAACGCAATTGATGCGTTTGAGTCGAGCATTCAAAGACAAACGGCCGCAATACAACGAGAGACACGATAAAGTGATTTCGCAGCATGACAATGCTCGATCCCATGTTGCGAAAGTGGACATACTTGGAAGACATACTTAGAAACGTTGAAATGGGAAGTCCTACCCCACCCGCCGTATTCTCCAGACGTTGCTCCTTCTGACTATCACTTGTTTCGATCAATGGCATACGGCCTGGCTGACCAGCACTTCCGGTCTTATGAAGAAGTAAAAAATTGGATCGATTCGTGGATCGTCTCAACAGATGACCAGTTTTTTCGACGCGGGATTCGTACGCTGCCCGAAAGATGGGAGAAAGTAGTGGCCAGCGATGGACAATACTTTAAATCATAAATGTATAACCAGTTTCTTACAATAAAGCCTCGAATTTCGGAAAAAAAAACGGCGGAAGCAAAGTTGTACATCTAACATTTTAAAAGAGAAAAACAAGTTAGGCAGTAATTTTATACGATACTTTTACAACATTTGTTACTCAGAAGATGATAAAAATAAAGTATCTTGCAATGCAATAAAACAAAAGTGTCATAAATGCGTTAAGTCAATCGTCCAATTGACATAACAAAGCTAATCCTCTCTTGATCCAATGGCTCACAGGACGATCCGTGTCCAGAAATATTGATAGCACATAATTTGAGGAGTGACCCGTGGTTTTCAGCACGCCGAAACGTGCCGATGTGATGTACAATGGACATTCGTATCGGTTGCCGACACGAAGAGACGCTATTTCGCATGGTTTGAACCATACGATCGGCATGGAGTCCCACAATATCTTCGGATAACTCTCGGCCAGCAACATTAACGATGTGTCCCATCGAGCTCCCGCCAAAAACATTCCATAAACGTAAGCTCCATCGACAGGTGACACGTTGGACTGATACGTCGAGAGTATCTGAAAAACGATACATTCATTAGATTAAAAGTTGGACAGCATAAAAATGTCTAAAATACATTTTAGGGATACTAAGAATCATTTAAAACAAGTAAGTTATTTTTTAAACCTAAGACATCTTTTAGACACTTATATCCCAGATAGCAAGGTGACTTCTAAAGACGTTATTAAAATATCATTCAGACATCATAGACATTTTAATAACGTCTTAATGACGTTTTTAGACGTCACCTTGCTATCTGGGATCATTTAGGAAGAATTTGTTTGTTGCTGGAAAACAAAAGTTTACGTCTAAAATTTCTTTAATGATCAAAAGAATTGCGTAGAGTTACAAAAAGCTCGTAACAAAATTGTAGAAGCGCATAATTTTGATTAAAAAATAAAATAAAAAAAAAAAATATATATAATTAGCTCAGAAATAAGCTGTTTAATTATTTATGATAAATTGATATTGATTTACTTCATAGTTGAAGGTGATTTTGTCGATTGGTATTTTGTACTTTCTGGCATAATTCTGCATGATCGCGGTTAGGAAAGCGTGCGAAAACGAGAACCCAGATATCCAGAACGTGTCCGGTTTCCCGTGGACCAGCCATTTTTGTAGGAAGTCTAGTCGCTTCAGGAAATCGTCCACAAAACTCGGCAACCGCTTCAAACTGGGATATGCGCTCGCCTTCGCCCAACTCGGCGGAATCTTTGCGCTGAGCATGCTGCTTGCTAGTTCCTACGTTCATTGCATTTATTACACTGATCTTGCTTAATGAGTCCTACTAATATTTATTAATTATAATTAGTTTTAATATATTATTTATTAGCTGTATAAAACCATTAATATTATATGGAAATTGAACTCGAATATACCTCTAACGACGGCGTCATCACTATCAGTCCCTTCACCGCTTTCTCCAACATCGACAGACTGCTTCGGATCTCCGCTAAGAGATCATTGTACCTTCCCAGTTCCTGCACCAACACTGTATTCATCGACTCCATGTACTCGATCGGGAAGCGCTTTTGCGCCTCCTCTACGTCGAAGAGTTCCGGCATTCTCTCGTAAATGTCTCGCTTCATATTCAACAGGATTTCATCTTGCTTCGTAGCGTCGCCAGTAACCACGGCGCTTCGTATTCGTACCATGGAATCGAGCAGATCAGCTGCGAGCTTGAGATTGCGAGTTATACCGGCGTTCACGTGAAGGCCGAACACCTCTGGCGATGGATTCAGCGGGATCGATCGTATCTGCCTCACGTAATCCTCGTGAGTGTGCCTGCAATTTCGTGAGATTTCTTTGTATTTATAAGCTATCGAAGCAGAATCCATCTTTTATTTTTTTAGTAACTGTATCGTTAATTATAACTCTAGAAGAATTAATAACTAATAATAAGTATAAATAATTAATAAGCATAATATATAATTTGATTAATAATTAACCAGTAAATGATTAGTTGAATGAAAATAACTGATTAATTGGTTGTTGATCAAATTGATTGCGTTTTTATTTCACGCGAGCAAGCACCTTTTCGGTACGGTGTACTCGGGACCAACGTCGGCGAACGAATAGTTCGGATCGACGATTACGTCCGGGTTATAGAAGTCCTGCAAAATAGTGTTCAGACACCTGCGATCCCGATCGTCCGTCACCCTACCGCCATAATTGCATTCGCCGGTAAGATACATGATCGCATCGAAAGGTACATTCTCGTAATTCGCGACGCACAGTTCCAATTGCATCGCGGATATTTGCAAGTCGGATTCGTTGAAGTCTAAGAGAAGGGAAGTTCGATACACACCGAGGAGCTCCCTTATAGAAATATCATACTAAGAATCATTGATAATTACTTATTATCCAGTATTTTTAATACTGAAAATAAGTAATTATCAATGATTCTTAGTATGATATTTCTATAAGGGCTTGATTGTTCTAAGAAATATTAATTACAAACCGTATCGAATATTCCAGCCTTGAGGCCCGTAATTCCGTCGCTCTTGGATCACCGCGTGGAAGAAACACAAAGCGTACAGCAGTCTGAAGAATGTCTTCTTTTTTGTCAAATCTCTCTCCAAAGCGTCTACTTCTCTCGTACCTTCCGCCATGAACGACCTGCGAATCGACGGAATTGATTAGTTTTACGAGTGCAAACGTGAGAAAAATTGAGACACAGTTTTATTTAACCAAAACAATTCCTGTCGTTTCATTTATGTTCATTCCTCTATTTTTATTTTATTATATATATATTTCCATTTATTATATTTTTTAAATTTTATTTCTGCTTTAAAGATAAAATCGCCAAACATTCTATTGTGCAAATATAACTCACTACAAATCCGTGAAACAGAAAGTGTTTCGATATTCTCGCATAATCTAATTTCCATATTTGTTACCTCATAATGTTGTTTTGCAGACCTATCGGCGGCTCGTTAGTCATCTTAACACCGTTCTGCAAAATGCTAACGGGAAACTTGTCCGATGGGTAACTAGTCAACCACAGGCGGAAGTTCTGCTCGGTGTTGACGTGATCGAGGCTCTCGTAGATCTTCTCCAGAACGGACATCCAAGAGACAGCCAAGTGACAGTTCTGCAAGCAGACCCAGGAACCATCGGACTGCGCTCGTTCAATCATTCTCTGCGCAATAGGCCCTTGACCCTGACCCAACGAGATCGATTCGAAACGGTCCATGTAGTTCTTGCTCTCCGCGAATTTCGTCAGCGCGCCCATGGGATCGGAACCGGTCGACAAGATGAAAACCAGGGGTGTCAAACAGCTCGACTCAGCGTACGACTTGGCGATGTCGAAAGGCGGAGGTACCACGAACTTCAGACCCATCCCGACTTCCACGAAGCGCTGGATCTGTGAAACAAGGACCTATAAATTTTTCCAACATTCATGATCGTCTCAATGTCACGATTAAACAATTATGTCTGTTTCAGAAAAGGAAATGCAAGAAAAGAAAAAGCAATGCAAGAAAAATTTCACGTTGCATTAATAATTTCGATTTTCGTAAGAGGAAGAGATAACCGAATAAAATTAAAAACACACACACTAAACCGTATTTAAATTTTAGAATTTAAATAAAAAAATTAAATTAAAATTAAAAACTGAAGTTGACATTAAATTGAATAAATATAATTAAAATAAATATCGGACGTTTGCTAAATAAGAATGTCTCAATGTTTAACAGTAAGAATAATTCTAATTTCATTGATTTTACTGAATATGAAATAACTTTCTCTGTAGTAATGTAATATTAAATTAATAATAATTAATGCTCAATTAACCCTTTCATGGAGGGTTGCTCGGGGAAATAATTATAGAAAAGTACGTATTCTATGGGTTTTTGGGGTCGTTGAATCCGAATGAGCTTGGATTTTTTAAATTCAAGATGGCGGACCCAATACGACGGAAAAAATGATAAATAATATAAATGTCACTTAATTTCCGTGAAATTTGAACTATGAAACTTTTTAAAAATATTTTTTTGAGAACTGAAATCGAATATTTGAAATTCAAAATGCCGACCAAGAAAAAAAATTTTTAAACTATTTGCGATGTTAAGTGCGCAACTAAGTTTCCGGGTCTCACACATGGATGGCGCTAACGACACATGTAGTCGACATACATGCCTAAAGTTGTGTTTCTTTTATAGCTTGAACATCTGTCAACAATAACCAGTCATAATACCAACACATATCGCAACGCAAAAATATTTTTTCTAACAATGAAGATGTCGAGTTTTGTGCCAAAAACAGCATTTGCGGGAAACTTTGCTTTTCTGCTTTAACTTGAAAAAAAATGTAGCTGAAGCAAAAAGTTTGCTTGAGGAGACCTACGGCGAACATGCACCATCGAAAACCACCTGTGAAGATTGGTTTAAACACTTCAGAAGTGGCGATTCGACACTAAGGACAAGGAGCTCTCCGGAAAACCAAAAACAATTGAGGACACCGATCTGCAAGCGTTATTAGATGAAGATGATACGCAAACACAAGATCAACTTGCGGAGGCATTAAACATAACTCGCTAAGGTATTTCCAAACGTTTACATGCCATGGGAAAAATTTAAAAGGAAGGAAAATGGGTGCTGCATGAGTTGACTAAGAGACAGATGGAAAATCGAAGAATCACTTCCGAAATTTTGCTTTTGCGGCATGAAAGAAAGAGTTTCTTGCATCGAATTGTTACTGGCGATGAGAAGTGGATATATTTCGAGAATCCCAAACGCAAAAAATCGTGGCTTTCACCTGGCGAAGCATCAACATCGACGGCACGACCAAATCGCTTCGGAAAGAAGACAATGCTCTGCGTTTGGTGGGACCAGAAAGGAATCGTGTACTATGAGCTGCTGAAACCAGGCGAAACTGTCAATGAGCATCGCAACCGACAACTGATCAATTTGAACCATGCATTGCTCGAAAAACGGCCAGAATGGGACACGAGACACGAACGAGTGATATTTCATCACGACAACGCTCCGTGCCATCGCACTTCCATCGTCCAGGACACCATCAAAACGCTGAAATGAGATCTGCTACCGCACCCGCCGTATTCACCAGACCTTGCCCCTTCCGGTTATTACTTGTTCCGGTCGATGGCGCATGGCTTGGCTGGACTACACTTAGCCAATTTCGAAGAAGTGCAAAATTGGTTGGATGAATGGTTTCGGTCCAAAGACGCGTCGTTTTATCGTCGCGGTATTCATGTATTGCCAGAGAGATGGTAAAAATGTGTAGCTAGCGAGGTACGATATTTTGAATAAACCATTTTTTGTATTTCTCTTGAAATTTTCCATTTTTCATTGATCAAAAAAACCCAGAAACTTAGTTACGCACCTAGTATTTCTGCATGATAAAAAATAATTGTTTCAGGATATATCATACATGAACAAAATATTAGATATTACAAAATTTATACATAACTGAGCAAATGTTGTAAATAAAATATAAATTTTTCTTGTTGTATATATTTGGATGTATAAGAGATGTAAATATAATGTAAATATTTTTTTGGTCAATAGTAGAATGTATATAGTATATAAATATATTGTAAATATCGTTTGTTCCAGTCTGCCGCTAACTAAAGTTTGTATGATATTGATGAGCTCCAAGAAGAACGAAAATGGAAATCAATCAAAATTTTCACTAATTCAGATTTAGAGAGTATGAAGTTCCGCGGAAATTGAGTCATATTTACATAATTTGGCATCTTGAAAATCGCCATATTTTATCTGCCAATTTGAATTTTACATTTTTTTACTTCAAATTTGGAAAGAGCACTCCAGAAAACCAATTTTTATGAATATGAGATCAATAGTTTCTGAAATACATGCATGAAGACCGTTTAGCATCAAAAGATGTCTCCCGTCCTGAAAGGGTTAACCGAGCTTAATGATGTAAAGACAAGACAAAACGCAAGTCGACTTTAAGTCACTCATCGTCCTTCTACGCGTCAGGAGTAATCTTCGGGAGAACTGTTCTTGATTATATCGCGCCGCGATATTATCGGCCACGGTACCTTTATCGGCACGATATCCGGCCTTATCACTTTCGCGACGATCAACTTCTGGAAAGGCGTCAACTTCGTTTCCCAAGGTTTTGGTAGAGGCGCGTCCACTGGGTCCAAAAGATCGTAGAACTCTTTCCATGATGGTAGATTGTCTCGGAAACTTCGCATGAAGTCGGCAAACACCGGCGTAGCACTGGCAATCCTCGATATCTCGCCCCAGGATTTTTCGGGGAGCCAGTCGATGGCGGGATTCTTCACGGTCGGTTCGCCCAGAGCGAAGCCGCCGATAATGAGAAACGACATCTCATCCTCGGTGATCTCGCCCGACGCCAACAGGATCGTTGTGTACAGAATGAATGAGTACAGAATCTGTTGAATAACGAAGGCTGTATTGCATAAAATATCTTAGTTATAAGAATGTTATTCTTAATATTTATGTAATCACTCTTATAGTGATTAAAAGATATTAAAACTTATTTGACCAAAAAATTAAAGAAGTATCACGTCCATATTACGCTATATCCCGGATATATTTTTCTCTTTTTGATAAGAAATAAACGAGAAAAGAAAATGGATCTTCCCATTTCCATCAGAAAAGCTGGATTTTTTCTTCTCGACTTCAACGTGAACGTGAGGGCACGTGACACAAGTAACTGTTACCTTGTCTTTTTCGAACAGTGACCTGCACACATTCTGATAGAGATTGTAGGTGAACGTGCTGCGCAGGAAGCCAAGTCGTCGCTCAAGATCCTTACTCTTGCTGGCGGTCTCAATCGAGCCGATGTACAGGTTGATAAACCACGTCAACGAATACTGATACATCGGATCGATGTTGGGCAGATCGGTGATGGTGTAGTAGAGCGCCGCGCTGTACTTGGCGATTGGCCGGTAATTCTGACGAAACACGTCGATCTGCATCGCCGTCTTCTTCGCCGCCGCCTGCTTCTTCTCGATGTCACTCGACAGGATCTTCGACGAGTCTAAGATCTCGATAGCTTCCTCGTCCTCGAGGATATTGACACCGGCGACCGACAGAATCCGCAGGATGTTATCTTCCACCTCCTTTAAAGCTTTCACGTTCAGAGCGTTCTGCACGATTAAGTACTCGCGCTTCTCCTGCAGATCCGGTCGCTCCTTCGCGACTACTATGCCCAGCAGCTGATCGTCCAGCGCCTCCAGAGTCAAGGCGCTACTAATCAGCGTCACTTTATTGAATATCTCCGGCGAGTAGTGCGGATTGCGCAGCTTGGTCGTCATGTATAGACGGAAGCGCGGATTGTAATCGATGTTCTTCTCGCCGAGAGTGATGTACCAGAAGGCGCCGGATTTGTATATCCGTCGCGTCAATATTGGGTCCAGAGCGACGTCCAGCTCCTCCATGATGTTCTCAATTAACACTGGTTTACCTGAGTAAGAGAGTCGTCGAAATAATTAACTTTCCAGGTAACACGAATGTCCAAAAAATGTCTAAGGTTCGTATTAATAGTATAGTTCGTATCACTTGTGACCAATGAGAGATACTCAGATTTTCATTTTCAGAGTTAGATCCAAGTTCTTTAAATTGAATTGTCATATATGTAATATTTAGATCTATAACCACGATTAACTGAAAGAACTTTCATCTAACTGAAAAAACGATTAACCGAACAAAATTTCATCTATCTCTGAATTTAATATCTGTGCATCTCACTTGAAACGAATTTCAAGTAATATTAATATATATTTTAAAATTATCGAAGAGATATAAAAAAAAACAGAACACATCTTTTAAATTCTTTTAGATATTTGTGTTGTCTGTAATACATAAGAGTACAAAATTTGTTGGTTACAAATACAATATAACAAACTCCTTTGACGTTAAATAATAAACCAAATAATAAACTAAATTTTTGTGAACTTTTTACAAAATGTTATTGGAATAATTACTAATGTGTAACTTAGACTAATAAAGAAACACACAAGTCTTAATGTGTGAAAACGCGAATTGACGAAACTATAATATTAATTATGAATCTAAAAGTCTCAGTTTCTCGTTTAATTAGAATAATTCAATAATAACGTTATATACAATACCGTGTTCGATCGAGTGCTCTATAACGTTCATGTAATCACGATCAGTCAGCTTGACGACTTGGAGGTCGTTCACCTTCTCCATGTTGCGAATCCACTTGTTCGTCTGACCCTGTGGATCGATGAACAGGCTCCAGCGCTTTGAGTTGTCCATTATTATGGCGTTCTCGATCGAGAAGGAGTCACGGGGCAGACCGAACATGTTCCACGAATTGATCTTCACCTCCGTGCCCAAAATCGCGACAAAGTTGTACTCTTGCGAGCAAGGTATCATGGACTTTGTCACGTACTCCGTCCATTTCTCAAGGCTCTCGGCACGAAAGCTAGCAGTGTAAGGTCCCAGATAGGCGATCACGCCACAAGATATCAAGATATCGCCGGGTAACGCCTTGTAGGCCACCCACAGCTTCTCGGCCACTGTGGTCCAGCGATCTTTTTCTCCTCCTAGGCCGCTGATCAGCTTCTCTGCGCGAATCAACTTGTTTCTGCAGCTCGTTACCTGCACCATGGGCGAAGGTTACCATGAACATCGTGACATATTAAACTAGTGCTCGGAATCACTTACATTTTTAACTTTCGAGATCTACGCTCACTTTCTTCCCAGCTTTGAGAGTGGCTATCGCATAGAGGACTAATTTTAAAAATTAGGATTCCTCTTACGAAGTTAATGGTTCTATTAAACACGAGGCTTGACGGATAAGCAGGAGAGACGAAACAAAAGGAAAAAAATAGGTGTAGAAAATAGCGCTTCGAAAATCAACAATATACCGGATGCTTATAGACAAAAAATTGGTTGAATTAACGTGATAATAACACAATTAAATGCGCAATTAAATTAAATTGGTTGAAGAAAGAATTGCTGATTCTTAAAAATCGGATTTAGTTTATAAGAATCAAGAATTCTATTTCCTTCAATAAAAACGCATTTAGTTATGTCATTATCATACTAATTCAATCAGTCTTTTATTTTTATGTGTTAAATGTAAAAAATGTAAAAATAGTTTAATAGCTAAATAATTTTTAAAGTAAGAGAAACCACGTGATCGTAAAATTCTACCGACCTCATCCTCCAGACGAATCTTTCGCGTTAGTGTTTCTCGCAGTTTTTCGCGCAGCACCTCCAGCTTCTTGTTCAACTCGGCCAACGTCTGCCGTCTCTCCTCCAAAAACGCAAGAGTGTTCTTCAGATCGCGTTCCGAAGCAGCGAGCTTAGTCTTCTTCGGTGCGACTATTTTTGCAACGCCGTCGTACAAGACCATCGCACGCACCCACTTGCAGAGACCTTCGGCGGCTGAAGAGGCGCGCGCTACCACCTTTGGATCGAAATTCTTGTCCGTCATATATGTTCTCTTGATTTCCTGACGAAAGGCAATATCTCTTTAGTCTGTGGATTCTTTTAAAATTATTCGATCGCAAGAGCACAGATGTGAATTTGAGTAAGGTAAAAATTTACACATTTATATTTGTAAAAAGGACCCCGCACAAACCCTATAGAAAATGGTTTTCGATCAAATTGGCTGAAATTTCACTATGTTATAGTTTTCGCCATGCTGATAAAAAGTTATCATTGCACCAAGTCCCAAAAGTCAATATTTCTCAAGATATAAAGGGTCAAAGTAGTGAAATATGGTCATCCGCAGTAGTAAGATGTATGTTATAAGTATAAGTGATACATTGATTTTTATTTATTCACGAAATAAATAAAAATCGATTTTTACATATATATATATATATATGTAATAAATATTTAGTTCCGCAATATATATGTATATGTATATACAGGGTGGGGCAAAAGTATCGGACCGGTGAAATATCTCGAAAAATATAAGTTTTACAAAAAACTGTTTCAGATCTTAAAAAGATCTATTGTATTTACTGATTTTAGCAGATTGATCTTGGGTGGCGTTGCCAAGGTCAAAAATCAGTTATTTTCACGGCTACTCACAATCAGTTGTTTTCACAGCTACTCACAATCAGTTGTTTTCATAGCTATTCAAAATCAGTTGTTTTCATGGCTATTCACAATCAGTTGTTTTCACGGCTACTCAAAATCAAAACTGATTGTGAGTAGCCGTGAAAATAACTGATTTTTTACCTTGGCAACGCCACCCAAGATCAATCTGCTAAAATCAGTAAATACAATAGATCTTTTTAAGATCTGAAACAGTTTTTTGTAAAACTTATATTTTTCGAGATATTTCACCGGTCCGATACTTTTGCCCCAGCCTGTACC